ACCTGATTATTGCTAGTGATATATTGTTGTGTAAGTTTCTCACCAACGTGTTTCAAATATACTTCTTCTAAACGTTGTCCTTGGAGCTGCACATAAAAACAGTGTGCTAAGTTGCTAACTATCCTTTTTTTTCTTGAATGCGTGCAGATGTGAAGCAGTATGCAAATTTGATAAAAACCCTTTTGTTCCTTCTCAAATCTTACAAGCCGAAGGATAATAAAGCTTGGCCTCAAGCAAAGGACGAGCAGAGTTGCGGTAATATGCTGGCAAATTTGTCTGAATTCATGTAGTAGATGTTAAAACTCTGCTCATTTATATTTACCTCTTGCTCACAGGACAATCATTCAGTTTGCCCCGGCCTGCATTTCTAATGAGTTGGAGACGCAGAATTGGAAAAGAGGCTGAATCACTCTTCTTCTCTGGTTGCGAAGATGCTGGTCTTGAAGTAAAGCATCTGGGATCTCGTGTATATTGCATCAAACCAAGAGAAACAACTACCAATGGCGACCAAATAGAGAATATTTAGAAGCTACATTTGGTCGAGAAGTAGCCATTCAAGAATTGATTTATCTACAGTTGAATCTTTCGTTTTTTTTTTTTTTTTTTTTTTTTTTTTTGATTTTGTAAGCGAAGGTTGTTTAAAAATGGTTTTTGTTAATCTGAATGAATGAGCGGGAAGGGAGCATGAAAGGTTTTCCAAGAATATCCAGCTCTTACTAAATTACTAATAGATGGATGGATGGATGGATAATAATCTCTATGAAACGATATTCTAGCAAAAGCACCCAAAATTAGTTAATCTTAATCCACCAAATTATCACCAACAAATCAAGTAATCAACCCAAAAGCATAGAGATTATGGTGGAGGCCATTGCCAAGTTAGAATGGGAATCTGAAACAACTATCAAAATTGCCTAAAACATAAGGGAGACGGCGGTGGCGGTGGCGGTGGCAGAAGGTCAGTGGATTAACATGTGTTTTTTTTAAATAAAAAAAGTTTAATTTTTTTCTTCTAATTGATTAAAAAAAAGACAAACAAATACTTTTGTTTGTTTAGGAATATTTAAGAAATTTACGTGTTTATTTACATGATATGTCACACACAAAGGCAACAATTTCAATCAGATGCATGGCACATGAAACACCTCCACATTAAACCAATGGCGTGCGTTGGTACTTGGTAGCTTGGTCTGTCGGTTGTTCTTGTAGCCTTTCCTTGTCAGTTTCAACTTCAAGTTCTTCTTTGATTCTCTGAAATGGAAATATGGACTTTTTCTCTCTGTGCCTGGTAAATCGTGTCCACATCTGGCTACCATGCATGGCAATACCGGCCCTGCTTTCATTGCTCAGATGAATTGTAATTCAAAAGGACACTACCTGTTTGGCATTTCCTCATCAAACCCAGTTTGAGCTTGGTGGGTGGCAAGATTTCTACTTAAGATATATGTGTGAGCAAATTTCTCCACGAGAATATTTGATTGGAAAGATTTCCTTTTCTTCTTCGCCGCCTTTCTCCTTGCAAAATAGAACCAATAAGAGGACCACACCCGGGGGTGTTGGCCAAAGGCCCTCCGATGCCTAAATTAATTTAAGAGTTTGTAAGAAAAACACTAGCTAGGGTACGGAGATGTGTTTTTGGTGTAAAATCAATTCTCAACCCAATTAGGTAACGTTCAATTTAATTGGGTAATCCCCAATTAAATTGAGTAACTCTCAATCAGGTTGATTAATTCTCAATTAGGTCAAATAATCCCAAAATTGAATGAATTATTTGAGATAGGGTTTTGATTTAATTTGGTTACCACAATATATACTTTAGTTAATTTGACCCTTAATTGATTGTGGTTACCAGGAAATTAGCTTAATTAATTTAAATTGATTGCAATTAGCTTAATTGGTTTATGCTTCATTGGGTATATTTGCCAAATTATAGTAACCCTTTGCGTTTGGTTTTATCATCTTACCAAGCTGAGATTTTACCAAACCCCACAGAGATAAATTCCATATATACAAATTACAATCGAAGACAAGTTAATGCCAAGGGCCAAAGCTGTTTCTGTGAACAAAAGTAGCTGAACAAAAAAAGTCATTTTTGCTGTGATACCGACTATGGCTTCCCACCAAGAATGCCTCTTGGAAAATGGCACAAGCAGTGACGAGGAAGTGCAACATGGCAGGACCGCTAGACAATTGTCGGCTTCTGCATTGCGCAAGAAGTCGGATCCTACGCTGCCAAACAGTGTTCAAAATGGACATCTCAGGGAGTTGCTTGTTAATCTTCAGGTTGTTCTTCTGGGGACCAAGCTTTCGGTTCTCCTTCCCACCATTCCTCTGTCCATTTTTGCTGTGTACTATGGCTTTGGAAAGGTAAGTGCTTGCTTTCATATTTTAATAAGAAATATTGTATACAATGGAAAATAAAATAAAAAATCAGAATTTAGATGACTGATCCTTGTAACCCTTTTCTTTATTTTTCCTTTGACAGCCCTGGATTTTCACTCTGAGCTTACTTGCATTAACCTTACTTGCTGAGCGCATCAGTTTTCTCACAGAGTAAGGCACACAAAAACACAATCAATTCGCCTTTCTTCAAATGCTGCTTACATTAATCATTTGTACTTCAAATTGCAGACAAATATCATACTACACTGGTCCAACAGGTAAATTGTTTTCATTTTACTTGTTAGAATAATTTCAATTACTTAAAGGTTGCTTCAGAATGGGACTGAAGGGCTCACTTTTTATCTGGTTTGTGCAGTGGGAGGGCTCCTAAATGCAACATTTGGTAATGCCACAGAGCTGATTATAGCAATATCTGCTCTAAGTCAAGGAAAAGTAGCCTTGCTCAAGTATTCTCTCTTGGGTTCAGTTCTTTCTAACCTTCTTTTGGTCCTTGGAACCTCCCTTTTCTGTGGTGGTCTTGCTAACCTCAGAAGGGAGCAAAAATTTGAAAGAGTAAGGCCCTAATCTTAACCCAAGCTCAATTTGCATTATATAATTTCATATGTTAACTTCCCTTTTAATCATCTAAACTATGTTTCTTCATACCTTAATTTATATGGCCATTGTTTCATCAGAGACAGGCCAATGTGAACTCTCTCCTTCTACTTCTAGGAACATTCTGCCACACGCTCCCAATGCTGCTTCAATATGCTGGGGACTCTGCTGCAACAAAAGACCAAACACTCCAATTCTCAAGGGCCATTAGTATCCTAATGCTACTTTCTTATATTGCATTCATGTTCTTCCAGTTGTGGACTCACCGCGGATTTTTCGAATTGCAGCAAGTAATTATCCTAAGGTTTTGGCTGCAATGTTAATTTCATTTTCATGCTTCCAAACTTTCTTTCAGTAGTGCATTGGGAACAATGTTCTGCAATACAAGTACATCATACAAGAAAAGCATTCATCTAGTTATATATGCAGTAAGAGAAGTAAGAAAACAAATATGCAGACATGTGCTCAACTATCATGCAAGTCTTCATTTCTAACCTGTCCATGAGATTGAAGCACCCCAAAAATAAAGAGAGTTTTTTTTAAAGCAATTGATTGATATATGCATTAGCTTGACTTTTCTGTGCTTCCATTCCCAAAAAACAAGCAAATAAATACTAGAGCTCAGCTAAGGAACTATAATAATGCAACTGGTCAGGTATCAGAAGTTGATGGTGATGAAGATGTTGAAGAAGAAGTGGCTGAGATAGGTTTCTGCAGTGGATTTGCTTGGCTGTTTGCTGTCACTGCCATCACAGCTTTGTTGTCTGAGTATGTTGTGGGCACAATTGAGGTAATTAGTACACTATGTTCTTGAGTGGATTGTTAATTTTCTAAACAGAAAGCAATTCACTGAAATTCCTAATTGTATTAGGATGCATCAAAATCTTGGGGTTTGTCTTTCAGCTTCCTCAGCCTCATCTTGGTACCAATTCTTGGAAATGCAGCTGAGCATGCAGGATCAATCATTTTTGCTTTCAAGAACAAGTTGGTGAGAAATGATAAATAGTGGCCTTTTCTCATTCAAAACTAATGGCAAATTGGAAAATCCAGTTCCTTTCATTTGGGAACTTATAACCAACTTTATATTTTCTGTTTTGCACAAATGCAGGACATATCATTAGGAGTCTCTTTGGGGTCTGCAACTCAGGTCGCCATGTTCGTGGTTCGTATCGATTATCAAAGCTGAATTACTGCAGGCCTTGCAGTTCTCTTTCCAAATTGAATTATAATGAAAAATCCGTGCATTAACATGAACAATTTTTCTAATTGTGTGACGACTCAGGTCCCGTGCTGCGTCGTTGTTGCTTGGATAATGGGCATCAACGTGGATCTTAACTTCAATGTCATTGAAACAGTGTCTCTTGCTCTAGCAGTGATCACCACAGCCTTTGCTTTACAGGTAACATTCTCATCAATCATACAGAACATAACTTCCTATTAGAAACTTGCTAGCTGTCCTGTTTTTTCTTGATCATTGAGTTATATTATTTCAAGTCTTGTAATGTTTGATTTTTATAGGATGGCACATCCCATTATGTGAAAGGGTTGGTTCTTATTTTCTGCTACATTGTTATTGGAATCTGCTTCTTTGTATTCGAAACGCCGGTTGGTGAGTACTCAGAAACGCTGCAAACACCACCAAACCCTTGTCAGTTTCCATAGTTCTCCACATACATACATGTATATTAAGTCATAATTTATTTCTCACAGACCAAACAGCATCAACTTGAGGCTAAATCACCAACTATGAAAGCAGTTTTCAGAGCTTAAAATAGTGGGCAGGTAATAAGTTATCTCTTCTGTGCTCTATGATTTGTGGTCCTGTGGATATAGCCAGAGGTTTATGGTAGTTACCTTTGCATTGCGATTGGGATTGGACAGTTATAGCCAGAGGTTTATGGTAGTTACCTTTGCATTGCAATTGGGATTGGACAGTTATAGCCACATGGTAGTTACCTTTGCATTGCGATTGGGATTGGACAGTTATAGCCAGAGGTTTATGGTAGTTAACCAACATAACAACAGCCATCTTCAGCTGCGCTTCGACTCGAGCGCGCCTTATGATATTTTCTCCTTTTTGTTCCGGCCACGGCGTCGTTTTGCATGTTTATTATTTGCACCATATTTCCTCTCTTTTTTTTTTCTTTTTTTTTTTGTTTGAAATATTCAAAAATGTTGAGGAAAATGTTAATAGCAAGAGAAAAATGCATTGGAAAATATTAACGAAAGAGAGAAATATCCAATATATTATTAGAAATCATAAATTTGAAACAAAAAAATATAAATGTAAATCTTATGAAACCACATATATAAGGAAGGGCTCAAGTCAGGCATCTACCCAGAGCCCACATATAAAGGTCACAACTGGCCCACAAAGCAATTTACCTCGAATAATACTTCCTTCCTTACTTTTTATTGTGGCTCACCTACAAAGTGACATGTGTCCTCTCCTTTTTAGTTGTCAGAACAACTTCTTTCTTTTGTTTTGTTTTGTTTTGTTTTTTACTTTGATTTTTCTCAATCATTTTTAAAAATAATAATTTTCCTTCCTCAGTCAAAATTTTAAGTCTACAACCCTTTCCAGCTCTAACTTTAATAATCCATTTACAACCGAAGTTCCACTAACAACATTTGTAGACATAGTTTCTTCATGGATGTTTTTTCCATATAGGATCATGCTACAAAGTAAAAAAAACAATGAGAATTTTATTTTTATTTTTATTTTATATGTTTTGGTAAAAAGCTAGGGGTTGAGTAAAAGTGAACAAAGAAGAAATTGTTTTGACAATTAAAAAAAAGAAGACATATGTCACTTTGTGATTAAGCCACAATAGAAGGTAAGGAGGGAAATATTGTCCATATCAATTTACTAACGCCTAGCGCCTAGGCGGCCAAAAAAAAAGCCCTAAGCGGCCGCCTAGGCCAATTTTTCAAACCTTTGACAATTATTGCAGCTACTTATGTCTTTATTCATATACAAATCTTACGCGAGAAAACTGAAGAAACACACACAAATATCCAAGGCATCAAATCAAGTGGGAAAATCTCCGATGAGAGAGCAAAGCGATGTGAAGCGAATAAAGTGGCGATGCTATCGACGAATCGGTGCACTACTCCTCACTAGCCAGGAGTCGTCGTCGTGGCTATGCTCCTCTGTCTTTCTCCCTTTTCATTCCTTCCTTTGGGGCCTAAGTTCACACAACATAAAAAAGGAAACAAAAACAAAAAAACAAAAACAAAAAAAATTGAAAACTGGAGAAAAGCAAAGAAGAAGGGAAGTGGAAGAAGCTGAAATTTTAGGATTGCTTTCTAATTTTTTCGGTTCCTTTCGGTCCCCTAAACCCTAAATGATGGGGCCGAGTTTTCTGGATTGTTTTCTAAATTTTTTTTAATTACGATTTACAAAAATACCCAATCTGAACTTTGAATATAAATTTTTATTAGCAGTTGTGTTTTTTTTTTTCAGAGGTATTTGTGACCAATGATTTTTGGTGAAGCCTGTAATTCTAACTGCTTTTCACCTCACTTTATAAGAGCATGTCTAATGCAGGGGCAAGGGGCAAGGGGTTAGGTGTTGTTTTAGCTCCTCAAAATGGTACCATTCACAAAATTTAGCCTCTCAAAAATTTTGCGGTTCTAGTAGCAGTGAGGAGCTACGGGCTAAAACTCAAAATTTGTTATGTTTGTTTATTAATATTTTATTTGTGAAAAAAAAAATCAAAAACCACATATATAAGGAAGGGCTCAAGTCAGGCATCTACCCAGAGCCCACATATAAAGGTCACAACTGGCCCACAAAGCAATTTACCTCGAATAATACTTCCTTCCTTACTTTTTATTGTGGCTCACCTACAAAGTGACATGTGTCCTCTCCTTTTTAGTTGTCAGAACAACTTCTTTCTTTTGTTTTGTTTTGTTTTGTTTTTTACTTTGATTTTTCTCAATCATTTTTAAAAATAATAATTTTCCTTCCTCAGTCAAAATTTTAAGTCTACAACCCTTTCCAGCTCTAACTTTAATAATCCATTTACAACCGAAGTTCCACTAACAACATTTGTAGACATAGTTTCTTCATGGATGTTTTTTCCATATAGGATCATGCTACAAAGTAAAAAAAACAATGAGAATTTTATTTTTATTTTTATTTTATATGTTTTGGTAAAAAGCTAGGGGTTGAGTAAAAGTGAACAAAGAAGAAATTGTTTTGACAATTAAAAAAAAGAAGACATATGTCACTTTGTGATTAAGCCACAATAGAAGGTAAGGAGGGAAATATTGTCCATATCAATTTACTAACGCCTAGCGCCTAGGCGGCCAAAAAAAAAGCCCTAAGCGGCCGCCTAGGCCAATTTTTCAAACCTTTGACAATTATTGCAGCTACTTATGTCTTTATTCATATACAAATCTTACGCGAGAAAACTGAAGAAACACACACAAATATCCAAGGCATCAAATCAAGTGGGAAAATCTCCGATGAGAGAGCAAAGCGATGTGAAGCGAATAAAGTGGCGATGCTATCGACGAATCGGTGCACTACTCCTCACTAGCCAGGAGTCGTCGTCGTGGCTATGCTCCTCTGTCTTTCTCCCTTTTCATTCCTTCCTTTGGGGCCTAAGTTCACACAACATAAAAAAGGAAACAAAAACAAAAAAACAAAAACAAAAAAAATTGAAAACTGGAGAAAAGCAAAGAAGAAGGGAAGTGGAAGAAGCTGAAATTTTAGGATTGCTTTCTAATTTTTTCGGTTCCTTTCGGTCCCCTAAACCCTAAATGATGGGGCCGAGTTTTCTGGATTGTTTTCTAAATTTTTTTTAATTACGATTTACAAAAATACCCAATCTGAACTTTGAATATAAATTTTTATTAGCAGTTGTGTTTTTTTTTTTCAGAGGTATTTGTGACCAATGATTTTTGGTGAAGCCTGTAATTCTAACTGCTTTTCACCTCACTTTATAAGAGCATGTCTAATGCAGGGGCAAGGGGCAAGGGGTTAGGTGTTGTTTTAGCTCCTCAAAATGGTACCATTCACAAAATTTAGCCTCTCAAAAATTTTGCGGTTCTAGTAGCAGTGAGGAGCTACGGGCTAAAACTCAAAATTTGTTATGTTTGTTTATTAATATTTTATTTGTGAAAAAAAAAATCAAAACATAAGAAAAGCAACACAAAAATTTATTTTTGGAAACAATTTGAGCCATAATTTTGAGCAAAATGAATAAAGACACACACAATTTTTTTTTCTTTTCATTTTCATTAATTTTGTAGAAATATAAAAAGAATAAACAAGTAAAAAAGTTTGGAGTATATAAATTTTTTTTTATTAAAAAAAAAGGTAAAAACAAGGCTCAACTAGCCGTTGAAAAGTGAAATAAAAAGAAGAACAACCCAATAAGTTGCCGTTGAAAAAGTAGCTTTTGGAGCGTTATGTGGCAAAGCCTCATAGGCCATTGCATTTGGAAAAGTTACGCCTTTTTTTAAAATCTTTTTTTTCCAAAAGCTGACTGTGTGGCTCGCTCTTGCCCAAGTTGACACTTAGGCTAAACCAGCCCCTTATCTTGTCTTAGGCCAAACTAAATTGGGTCAAACACATGCATTAAAAAGTGTTATTCATTTATTTCTTGGGAGTTTCATTAAAACACCCAAAATGGGAGTTGAAATTATAAAAAAACCCAAGCACTATTTAAACATATAAACACACCCAAACCCATTATTACACACACTCAAAACTCATTTATAAACACACCCAAAAAGTTGACTTTGGAGTTGATTTTGGGTGTATTTCTATATTTAAATAGTACTTGGGTTTTTTTATAAATACATGTTTAGGATTGGGTTTATTTATAAATTTGTATTATTTCTTTGAGGTTAGATCTAGACCTAGCCTAGGCCAGATAAGTCCCATTAAACATGCTATAATGGTAGAGATATATTCGGGTCCAACTTGTTAGTGGAATAAAATGTATGTTCTATTTTGTGTTGTAATATTCTAGTTTCTTGTCTGATGCTTCGATATTCTATAAAAATTCATTTGTTTGTTAACCAAACTAAGTTAGACAGAGCCTTTGGAAGGAGGGGAGGGCATACTTGTTAAAAAATATAAGTCACACATCGGAAAATTAACTAAATAAAATGTAAAATATAATGAATAGTTTCACTACTAATATCAATAAGGTCTTTTATGATAAAACCTCATACCTACTAGGCTTTGTCGGTGGTTAAGTCGGGGACAATATCGATGTTGTTAATAATAAACCGTTGACCCGTCTCTATGAATTTAACAATACTTAGTTATGATTAATTATTAGTATCGTATAGTTTGAAAAAAGAAAGAAAGAAGAAGTATCTCCTCTTGTATTAAGATACGGTGGGTCTCATAAAATACAATTAACTTTAACAGTCTCCTTTTAGAATATAATAAAACTTTTTTTCTCTTTCTCATCTTGTACTCCCAATCTTGCCGACTATTTTATTTGATAGAGATAGAAATCTACCTGCATCAAACTCTCCACTCACTGGCTATATACAAACCAAATCTTCCACAATATTTTATATAGGTTTGGATGAATGGTGCTGTCAAGCCTTGGTTGGTGTGACTTGTACTGAACTTGGTTCACCATACATACCCTTAAGGCCTTTAAATATATATGATGTATAATTAGCAGAGAGTCCAAATGCGAAACGACTTCTTCTCTGGACCATCCGAACTTTCTACTCTCAGCAATCTTACTTCATATCAGTCTTCTTTCGAAGAAGAAATAGTCTTTCAGAACTGGTTGTCTTTTTCATGGTAGAAATATAATCCTACGTTTCTCTCTTAACTTCTTCTCTCCGAAATCAAATCAAATCAAATCAGGATTCATGTGAAGTTTAACCACAAAGTCAGTGTCCACGAGTCTCATCGAAGACTAAAGATACGGAATACATTACCGTACGGACGTCTCATATATATATCAACAAAATAAATTAACTGAGACGTCCCTACATATATATTGGAAATTTCTCGGAAGTTGCAGCTTCAGCAAGATGTCCCTACACACATGCACACCACATTACTGCCCACAACCAAAATTCCGTCCTCAATCCAAAAATGTAGTATAAAACTCACATGCTCATGTCACAGAGGATCTACCAAAAT